CTAACAATACACATCTGCATGCTACATCTCTTCCTTCAGGAATTAAAATCCCTGCTTACTGTAACTGGATAATTGTTTTTATTCACCTGGAAGGCTACATTGATCTCAGTGATTATAGTAATTTCTAGCAGCTGCCAAGAGCTTCCAGATTTTTTTTTTGCAATAAGTCTTATGCCAAAAAGAAGGGCCAGTAACAATTTATCTTGCTCTATAGTTCACATGTTCTCAGTGTTTGAACATCCCAATAATTTCTGAAGGGAAGACTACAGGAACAAAGGCAGGCAGGAAGAAAAGAGCTTTGGCTGGCTCCCTCTTTTAAAGCTTTAGGTAACATGTTGACATTTATTGTGTGTTAACACTTGTAGTTTTGATAAATCCTTTTATTTTGCTTCTTGTTTTATTATATAAAACTATCACGTACTGGCTGTCTTCTTATCTGTTTTAATAATGTTTTGTAAGATGCCTTTACAGTGGTGCCTTGACTTACAAACTTAATCCGTCCCAGATGATGTTCGTAAATCAAAACTTCATAAGTCAAAGCACCATTTCCCATTGAAATGCATGGGAACGGGATTAATCTGTTCCAGCATTTCAAAAAATAATAATACTAAAATAAACATAAACAGAGGAAGTCCCACGCTAGGACTTCAAAAGAAATAAAAATAAAATAAAAGATAAACATTGGAGCAAGTCCCACGCTGGGATTGCCAAAAAAATAAATCACCAAAAAAAAATTTGACCCTCAATCCCCACCACCACCACCAAAACAAAAGCCACCCACACAGAACTTTTTAAAAAAGCAGCACCTTATGGGTCCGAAGCCTTCTAAGCCTCCTGGGCTTCTACCGCCACTGCGACCACTGCAGCTGAGAGGCTTGAGCCTGGCTGGGGTGCTTCGGTCGCTCACTTCCCGCTTGCTCCTCACCGCCCTCCATGGACCAATGTCACCGTTGGTGCCCAACACCAGCTCCAGAATCAGGGGGTGGCTACATCGGTTCACGGCGCTCCTCGCTGACCTCCATGGGCTGATGGTGGGAGATTTAAATGTCTTCCCAGCTGGGCTCTCACTCCCAGCACTGGGTCCATCCGCACTGCTCACTTCTTGGCCGGGTTGCAGGAGGCAGAGCCTAGCCAGGAAGCAAGCAGCGGGGACGAACCCAGTGCTGGGAGTAAGAGACCAGTTGGGAGGCCATATAAATCTCCTGCCATCGGCCCACGGAGGGCAGCAAGGAGCGCCGAGAACCAATGTAGCCGCCCCGAGGACCAGCTGCTGGTGCTGGTTCTGGAGCTGGAGCTGGTGTTGGACACCAGTGGCGGCATTGGTCCATGGAGGGCAGCGAGGAATGAGTGGGAGGTGAGTGGCCAAAGCACCCCAGCCAGGCTCAGGCCTCCTGGCGCTGGGCCACCCCCGCTGCCACTGCATCCCTTTCCCCAACCATTGGGGCAAAAGAACTACAAAGAAGCAGTCTCTTCGCCACCAATGGTTAGTACATATAAATTTCCTGCCCTTTTCTCCTGCCTTTTTTTGTTCGCAAGTCAAAGCAAAACTGTGCGAACAGAGCTGTTCATAACTAAATGTTCATAGGTCAAGACGTTCATAAGTCAAGGCACCACTGTATTTTATTTAGCAAAAACACATAAAAATAACTAAACGGCAAGAATCCTGATGAACAAAGTTATACCATGCAGCTGTGCTTATGTCATCAGCAATGGACAACTGAGGGGAGGACTTAACTTTTCCTATCTCCCCCTTCAGGTTCTGGGACTCTCTAGGGATCCCTTTTGTCTTGGGGAAGACTTTGGGAGGTGCAGAAAGAGAGTGGAAATTTGTCATTATGGTGCTTGGTCCCACTGTTTTGTGATTCCTAAAGTGTTCCCCAGCATGAAAGGGGTCCTCTAGGGTAGCGGTCCCCAACCTTGGGCCTCCAGATGTTCTTGGATTTTAACTCCCAGAAATCCTTGCCAACAGAGGTGGTGGTGAAGGCTTCTGAGAACTGTAGTCCAAGAACATCTGGAGGCCCAACACTGGGGACCCCTGCTCTAGGGATCCCTGGAACCTGGGTGGGGTAAGGGCAATAGGAAACTATCAGTTTCCTCAGAGCAGCCATGGCTGATAACATCATCACTAAGTTGTGCAGAAAGATTCTAGCCACTACATATGCTGTGTGTACGCATGTGTGTATGTGTAAAATATATAATTCACAACAGAAACAAATGACCCACGCATCACAGTCCAAGTAAGCTTGGTTTTGACAATTGCTGCTGTAGGACTGATACCTAAGAAGTAGCTGAAACCATCACACAAAGGTCCATATGTAGAAATCCAGAGTAGGTACATGAGAAGCACAGTTCAAGTTCCATGCCTTTCATCATCCAATATTATCATAGAATCAGAAAAGTGAAGTTGGAAGGGGCCTACAAGACCATAATGCTCAATGCAGGAATACAATCAAAGCATATCTGCCACGTGATTATCTAAGTTTTTATTGAATGCTTCCAGTGTTGGAGCACTGACCAACTCCCAAGGTAATTGGTTCCACTATCATACTGCTGTAAAACTTAGAAAGTTTTTCCTGACATTCAAGCAAAATCTGGCTTCCTTTAACCTGAGCCCATTGTTGCATGTCTTGCATTCTGAGATGATCGAGAAAAGATCTTGCCCCTCCTCTGTATGACAGCCTTTCAAATATTTGAAAAGTGCTATCATATCACCCCTCAGCCTTCTTTTCTTTATCCTAAACAAGCCACAAATTACCAAACACACAGCAAGGTATACAAATGACAGTGATGTGCCTCAAACCCAAGGAAGGGCAAAGTGTGGTCCCCAAAATCTTGATGGACTACAGCTTCCACCATTCCTCAGAAGCTATTCTGGCTAGGACTAATGGAGTTGGAGTCCAGCAACATCTGTAAAGTCACATTTTGAGTACTGCTGTTCTAACAAAAGGCAATACTGGAAGGGAAACAAATGCAACATAAATTTCTGCTTTTGTACTCTTTATTCCTCAGACTTGCTCCTAGTTAGTACCAACAGATTAAGAATGTATGTAATCACATTAATTCACAAATTTATGCTTATAGCTTTGACTTTCTCAGAACCCAAAGCAATAACAAACTTTAAAAATGCTTAATTCCGTTAGCATCCTATACAGTGCAGCATCAGAATCAATCTAAGTTTTTAAATATTCATGCAAGATTATGGCTTTGTGAAAGGTTTAATGTTTTACTTTTTCTCTCTCTTCTGTATTCTGTATACTGTATAACAGTTTTCACTTACTTAATGGGATAAAAACTCTTATAATGCCCCAAAGATTCCCTTAGCATTGTTCTCAAACACTTATTTCATTGTTCTTTTAAATTAATGCTACTGAATCCTCTGATGAAGCTGACTTAAATTTCAAACCCAATGTTAATCACTTTTCATAAAAATTTCTATTATTTATGTAAAGAGTAAATGTGATGTGAAATTATAGCCCATGTGTTTATTTAAAAAAAATCAGTGCAGTAATCCAGTGGCATTTGAATGATGCCTGTTAATAACATTTAGAGTGAAGCAAGCAACCAAAAGGTTATAGCATTTTAAAAGAAATAAGCAGATTATAAACCTCCTTCTAATCAAAGAGGAAGTTTGTTGTAATGCTGTTGCAGATTATCTACTTGCTATACACCACTTCTACATCATGGATTTAAATTCTGAGCATGTATATGGACACTCCGATATACACTTTGCAGGATGCATGTGATTTATCATTTGAGTGCTGTAATTATTTCTACTAACAGCTGACAGCATCAAAAGAAAGTGAGGCCTCAACCAATTTTTACTGCACATACGCAGTGTGACAAATGCTGTCTTATGAGCTTATCATTAAACACACACATACTGTACACACACAATCAAGGATTGGAGCAACATAACTATATCTTACTAGATCTTTTGTCCCGTCACTAATAAAGTCATTTCCTGATTAGCACTGGTTCGATTTACTTTCGTGTACACAGGCTGTAAGATGAGTATGAGAGAGCAAAAAAGACTGTTCACAAATGCAAAATTTCTCTACTACATAAGAACAACATTTCTATTACCCCCCACACACACACATACACAAAGAAATGGTAACTGATACAGTAGTGAGATATAAGTCAGAGCACTCAAATAAGTTTAACGAGTGCCAGTTTGAATTCCTGGAGTAGTATTTCTCTAAACCACAGAATGAAAGCTAGTTAGTAACTCTACAGAAATGTTATCAACACAGTTATCATAAGCTTTAGTAAAGTAAATTACACACAGAAAAGCTAGCCCTTTGGGGAATTATATGGTATATATAAGCTGGAAAAACAATGATTTGATACACACCAGTAGGCATTTGTTCCAGTAGGACCCACAAGGCAGCTTTATAATCTGGCCAAGAAATTGAATTTCAAAATTGTATCTCCAGGAACAGGACTGATGTGTTCCAATAAAAAAGGAAACAAAATGTTTTCCAATAAAAAAGGAATAAAAGGAAAAGAAAAAGCTTTGACAAAAATGAACATGAGGGGGACAGTTAGGCTTTGTTGGATTAAGAGTAAAAATGCAAATTTAAAAATATGGTAAGTAGAATACATTCAAAACTTTTGTTTTGAAATTATTGAGTTTAACATACATACGCATATATCTATATGTATCTATTATATACACACACATATATATATACATATACATACATGATTATGGATACGCATATGTAATAGCATCCATACAAAATAATGGGAGGTGGGAATAGCTGGAGAAGATACAAGGACCCTATACTGTATCTTTCTTCTTATGGGTAGAAGAAGATACAGGGATCAATAGCTTTCTTCTTATGGGTGACTTTGGGTTGCAGAAGTACCAACAGAGAAAGGATTGATCTCTCTTATGCTTTCTCTGCCCCAGCACACAGTTCATAAAAAGATTACTTTTAGGAATATAGGAAACTGCCCTATGCTGGGTCATTATAAACTATTGTGGTGTAATCTGATGTGCATGTGAGGTCTCAGATAAAGGTCTTTTACTTCACTGGCTACATGATCCTTTAACTAGAGATGTTAGTGATTAACTGGAGATGCCAGTGATCAATGCAAAGCTGCTGACTCTTATTTTTATTAACTTCATAATAAAACGGAATGGATAGCAACACAATCCTCTTGTAACATGCGGCATGAGCTTCAGGTCTCAACCTAGCTGTAAATTACTACTTATATTATATTTTCATTCTGAACACAAAAATATAAACAACTGGTGAATAACTTTGAATAAAGCATATACTATTCTGCGAGGTTCCCATCAAACATAAAGCTCCTTTTTACTACCTTTACAGCTTCCTGTTATTCTAACTGCTTTTAATTTATGTTATGTATCCTCAACCCACCATAGTCTACAAGCAAATACAGCAAGATAAATTTACCCAGTAAGTAACAGTACATTATATTTGGTTTAATCTTACACATATATAGATAGTTCAGAAAAAGTATGCTGAAGTACCTTGCTACCTTTTATTCATAGCTCACCTGTAAAATTCTCTGTAAGATCAATGGTAGGGCAATGAATGCTGCCATATTGTTCAGTACTTGCATTGTCAAATTCTTAAGAACTGGAAAAACAATTACACCAGAATCATAGCCAACAGGAGCAAATGCTACTCATTTTGACCACACTGAGGAGGACATGAAATATAACTGGATTCACTGGTTTAATAATGTACGTTAGAAGGTAAACTGAGAAAATTCCCTTCGGAGAGAAGTTGATTTACAATGAATTTCTTTAGAATGATAACCAAATACAGTCCACTTCAAAAAGTGTACTTTGAAGAATTACCCAATATTAAAATTATCTCCACAGAAAAAGGGATGATTCAACAGTTAAATCTGAAAGAAAATACAATACGCCTGAAAACTACTTCTAAAATCATGCTTTGCAGATCAAAACCTAATTTCACATGTTAGTTCTATCTAGATTTACCTAGCTGAAATCTTATTGAGTAATTATGCTTGTGTAACTTGACATTCTGCAAGTAGTAGTGCTCATAACAGCACGGCAGAAGTAGTATTCACAAAGCATTTCCACAGGCACATTGTGCAGTTGATTGATGAAGCAACTATGCAACCAGTCACACAATTGAATTGGGCAATCCTAACTGCCTGGATCGAATGCCCGGCATGTTTACACATGGACTTTATGCTGCTCCTAGACAAACAGGATTTCAGCCACTGAAATCAATAGTACTTAAGTTAGCTGTGCCCAAGAAGGCTCGTTCATTTCAATGGGCCTACTCAAGTAGGACTAACATTGTATTTAGCCCTAAGGTTTAGATTCATAAGTTTGCTATAGGGAATGAGAAACAAGCAAGCAGAAAAGGCTATATCAGTATCTTTGTAGTACAGGAACAAAAATATTCCTGATACTACAGCTATGCAGTATTCACTCTGTATGAGCTTGCAAACATGCTCACTCTCTACAATTTTCGTTGGACTTCCAAAACCACACAATAATAAAGTATGTGGTACCACTGCAGACCTATATACTTACATTCCGAGTAATGGCATAGCACTGTAGAACCAGATAACTTTTGGGGGGTCATCATTGCTTCCAAGAGTGGAAACCACAGTGCCTTTAAAAAGGAAAGAAAATGGAATGCCATGACTGCCAGTTTGTACACCTGAACCAGGAAATATTTTGGCCCCCAAATAGTGGCTATCGCTGGGCTTTATGAAGGATAAGGCTAGAAAATAAAAAAGGCTTGTAACTAAAACCCAACTAGATGTTATGGTTAAGGAATGGCTTCTGCCAAAAACAGGTACCACTCACCTACCTTATCCTTGTTCTGTGATGATTAGTAACATTTAGGTCACATTATGTATTGGGTTTTCCTAACCCAAATGGGTATTAATGGCTGCCAGCAGTGAGAGCCATGGAAAATTGGGATCTTGCACTATCCAAACAGGAAGTCTCTCTTATAAATTACAGTGCAGGATGGGATGAAATTAGACAAATATTTACAGAAACAACCATACACTTACACTAATGTTATAGAAAATAGGTCTAATAAAAACACACAAAAAAGTCCTTCTTAGGCTTTAGAGAATACTTTAGAGAATACTTCTTACTTCTCTCTGCTCTTGATTCAGTTTGTGTGAATTCCTCTGGCAAAGTGAAATTGTTTTTCCCAAGGTGTCTTCAATTTCTTTTAATGAAGAAAACTGTGTTGAATCTATATTTGAGGAAGAAGTAACAATTAGATACTACAGTAGTACAAATGCAGCTGAAACCTTATGGAAGAGAAAAATCACAGAGCTTGACTGGGAAGATATTTATATGAAAATTAGTAGTAAGAAAGTGAGAAGCAAAACACATCTGACTGAAGATCTAGGTCTGGAATCATTCCAACAGAATATTCAAAACTAATGAAATCATAATCAACGATACATTATTCTATTTTATTCAATAAACACGTACTTAGTGCAGAAAAATCCAAGAAGAAAACTCTGTTTTTAAAAACTCACTTTCATCTTCACGTGTAAGTGTCCACAGCCTCTTTTTTAGAAACTGGGGGAAAATATATCTTGTATTAGTTGAATTCCCAAGATATTTTATATAACATGCATTACTATTTGTTCTGATCCCTTCCCTTCACTCCAAGCCTTCACTGTCTTTCTACAGCATTTTGCTCTTTCTGTGAAAAGAGTGACAGGAGGAATCACACAGGAACAAATCAAGAAGCTAATTATTGACTTCATTTGGTCCTATTAGCATCATCAGTTATTGACTTAAAATATTGTTATACAGTGGTGCCTCGCAAGACGATGTTAATTCGTTCCACGAAAATCGCTGTTAAGCAAAAACATTGTCTTGCGAAACACGTTTTCCCATTCAAATGCATTGAAAACCTGATAATCTGTTCCAATGGGAACGGATTGTCATCGTAAAGCGAAAATTGCCATAGGAAACATTGTTAAGCGAAACGTGGTTCCCAAGCGAAGACAGCCATCTAACGAAACAGAGACCATTAAAAGACTCGTATAGCGAAGCAAGACCAAGCTGACAAAAACATCGTAAAGCGAAAAACAGAGACCTAAAATTTAACCGTCTTGCGAGGCAAGGTCCCTAACATCGTAAAGCGAAAATCGTCCATAGGAAACATCATTAAACGAAGCGCAAGATCGCTCCGAAAATCTCAAAGTAAAGCGAATTCGTCATCATGCGAAGCAATCGTCTTGTGAGGCACCACTGTACTGCCTTTTAGGGTAATGCTCTCAGACTAACATCAAGTTACACATTAGCATTGGTGAACTTTACATGAGGCTGCCATATTGGGCAACAGCTCCACATACAGTGATTTGGCTTAGTATCAGGCACAATGATACCCGTGTGTATACATGTGCATGCTTTCCCCATGTTCTGTCACTGTGGAATCCCCAGTGGTACCTATATAAATCAGAGTAAGAGCATGTACCCCATGTTATGTCACTGTGGAATCCCCAGTGGTACAAGAATAACAATTAGTACATCGCACCCAGTATAATATGATAGTAAAATTATTGTTAACAAAATAAGCTGCAGATTATTATATCTACCTATATAAATCAGAGTAAGAGCATGTATGTCACTGTGGAATCCCCAGTGGTACAAGAATAACAATTAGTACATCGCACCCAGTATAATATGATAGTAAAATTATTGTTAACAAAATAAGCTGCAGATTATTATATCTACCTATATAAATCAGAGTAAGAGCATGTAGAAGGCAAAGATCTCTGAAGATTTCAGCCAGTGATCAGACACTTCTTATTTTTTATTATGTTAAAGGTGTTAAGAAAAAATGAATCCATACATATGGAAAAATACCGTAAGTAGTAAGAAAGCAAAGATCTCTGAAGATTTCAGCCTATGATCAGACACTTATTATTTTTTTATTATGTTAAAGGTGTTAAGAAAAAATGAATCCATTCATATGGAAAAAAACTGTAACAGTATGTTAAAATATCGAATAATTTGAAATAAATGTGACAGCTTTAAGCCTTCATTTCAAAAGAACTTCAACTATAATCCTTAATGCTAACAGTTCCATAACAGGTCTCTCTAGTAAGCGACCACTACATTTCAAAGCAATATCCTAGTCTACCATACCTCCAGCAAAACTAAGAAGGCACTATGAATATCTCCTTTCTTCTCAAGAAGATAGGAAGACGCTTCATGAAGTTGGTGTTTTTGTACAACCTGAGGAAAATGCCACATGTTAATTAACAATTTCAGGTAATGCACTTTCTATTTTTAGATGAGTGAGTACTTTATAACTTCAGAAAAGCCACAAACAGTATCCTGACACAAGAGATCACACATTTTCCACTGCAGGAGGAGTGGAGAATCAGCCTATTGGAGATGATCTTGAGAAGTGCACTGGTTGGCCTGAGAAAGGCTAAACACCTTGGCCCCATCCGACTCTCTTCTCCTGATTGCAGCCTCCAATGGCTATAGGTTTTTTAAAGGTACATAACATTCTGTATGACATGTACCCAAGAATGTCCAATGTTTTTATTATACAACAAAACACAGATAATTCTAGCTTCAGAGACGTATTTTAACAATTCAGTGGCTGTAGTCTTTTGAACTGTGGCATATGGAAATAGGATTGCCATAGCAAACTAACAGCAGAAGTACCAGCTGTGTAACAGAAAAGTAACAGAGTCCTATTTCAAACAAAGTAAGCTTTTGCTAAACCCATTTGGAGCCAAACAAGGTAATCAGTTAATTAAACTAGGAAACCACTGCTCAACTTTGATTTGGATACTGTACAACAAAGTAGTGTCTGCAAAGCACAAGGGACAATACTGAAGGATACTGATATTCTTCCATAGCCAGATTGTCCTCCAGAAGATTTGGACTACAGTACAAACCTTATTACACTTTATGATTAGCTTGCTGATGGTCATTGAGGTTGGTGAGAGTTATAGTCCAGAACAAAAGTCTTTTGTTAGAGAGGCTTACACACATAGGCCAGCCATACTTGGTCCCATATTCTATAGACATCTAGGCATCTATGCATGTCCAACTCACAGATCTATGCTTAATATACGGACATCAGGGCATGACCAAAGAAGCCATGTGAATTTAGATGAAGAATGAGTGACACAAGCCACCAGCCCCTTTAATTGCATAAAGGAGGCTGACTTGAGTGGAAATACCTTGAAGATATGCTTTTCCTGTGATTTCCATCCCATTTCCAAGCTATTTTACTTTACCTGAATTGCCTCTTCCAGCCTGTACGTCTCTAGGAACTGTAACGTTTCTAAAACCTGGTCAGGATCATACTGACACAGCAGCTCAATAAACTGTTCAGTAACAGTGGGAGAAATCTGAAACATATCTTGATTGACATTTTCCCTAGATCAAGAAATAACACAATACATTTAGAATCTATTGTACTTTAGCCCAGGAGATTATGCAGAGTGGGCAGTCGAATCATATACAGAAAGTACACCAAGTCATATCATATTTTACAGAATATAGTATGACATTTTTGTTGGTGAGAGGTTCAAGGAATGATGGGATTTTGACTAACAGGTCCAAACAAATAAGTCGGGGGAAAGTGACATAAATGTGGGCAGAACACAAGAAATGTAAGTAATATATGGGCTTACTAGTTGAAATACTGTCAATGATTAAGGTCTTACTAGCTTTCTTCACTTACAATGAAACTCACAGACAATGGAACTCACATTAAGCAGGACTGCAGATAAGAAAACTATTGTAAAGGAAGTAACAGATGCTATGCATGGCAGACAACTCAAGCAGTGCAAAAAAGAAGAATCCTGTTTGTCTTGAAAGGTGAGTATGCTACATATCATTTGCTACAATTTAAGACAAACCTGAAACCTGTTAGAACTGAAAGTGAACACACCAGGCATATATCTGCCTTCTGTACATATGTTTGCCTGTCACTCCAGATGGACTGTGTGACCGCACATTAGACTTGATACCCGACTGTAGTGTAACTACACTGAAGGCAATGGAATTACAGAGCAGATTAGTCTGGCACAATTAATTTAGCTAGAGATTTAGTTTAAAGTAGGCACAGGGCTGGTTGATGGGGGTGGGGAAGCAATGTGAGGCTTCAGCATGCCTTGGGAAACAAACAGAAGCAGGAGCACTTTTGTGTGTGACCAATGAGCAGTTGTATCAGCAACATATGCTGCTTCAGCTCAGAAAACAAACATCACTGCATTTTAAATCTAATCTTCTTTGAAGAGGGAGTTTCTCTCACAAACAAAAGGTATCAAAAAAAAACAACAACAAAAAACCAGAGAGCAAGGGCACATGTTACCTGAATTGCACAGTGATCACTGGAAACTGCTTCGATGGGATGATTTCCCTTTCCTTAGTATATATTTTTATTATATGTTTCTTGACATAGACAGATTTCTTGACAGAATCAGCTTCCTCTTGGAAGCAGCAATACTGTACTAGCATAGAACCTTCCCAAAAAGAACCAGAATGAAGCTATGAATGAAATTATATTACAGTCATACAGAATCTATGTACAACATACTCTATATTATCAAAGTAATGTTGGTATATCTGGTTCTTATTTGGGAATGGTAGTTTCTATACCTTTTATTGCTATTCAGTTTTACCAACTTTGCTTCAATCTGACACTTCAATAGTACAGTGGTGCTTCGACTTACGAACATCCCGACTTACGACCATTTTGATTTGAGAGCAGCTCTGGCTGCAAAATTTTGCTTCAACTTGTGGCCAGAGCTTTGAGCTGCGACTGGAAAAAAGGCAGGGGAAAAAGGGGAGGAATTCAAATTTGCTAATGGTTTGTAGGCGAAGAGGCTGCTTCTTTGTAGCTCTTTTGGCCCAACGGTTACAGTGAGTGCGTTGGAGGAGGCTTCGGACTGCCTGGAGCTGCTTTCTGCTCCTGAGTAAGTACTGTACACTTACTTTGGTTGAAGGATGGGTTGGGGGGGCTTATGTTTCTGTGCTGTGATTTTTGTGTGTGTTTTGGTCTGTTTTTTTCTCCAGCCCATCGCGTTCGGGCTGGCTGTGTGTGGGGGGGATTGTATTTGAGTGGTTTTTTCCCCAGCCCCATCATGTTCCACTGGAGCTGGCTCTGTGTGTGTGTGTGTGTTTGTGTTTTTGTCCCCAGCCCCAACACATTCCACTGGGGCTGGCTGTGTGCGTGTGGGGTTATTTTTGAATGTTTTCCCCCAGCCCCATTGCGTTTTGCTAGAGCTGGCTGGTGTGTGTGTGTTTCGGCCCCAGTGCATTGCATTGGGGCTTGCAGTGTGTTGTTGTTGTTTTTGTTGTTATGTGTTTTTTTCCGGCTGGAACGGATTAATGAGGTTTCAATTTATTCCTATAGGAAATGGATGGTGCTTCGACCATTTCAAGTTACGCCCATCTTCTGGAACAGATTATGGTCGTAAGTCGAGGCACCACTGTCTCGATTTATGGACATCCCTATTTACGACCATTTCGAGTTACGACCAGACCAGCTTGCAAAATTTTGCTTC